TGATAGTCACCTTTCTAAGTACTTGACAGGTTTTAATTCATTTAACCCTTAGAACAACTCTATAAAATGGTATTGTTATTATCATCCCCATATTGTAGATGAGAAAACTAAGGCTTGAGGATTAAGAAAATTGCCTGAGGTTGCCATGTTTAAAAATGGTGGAGCCAGGATTTGAACCCACTTAGTAGACAGTGTACCTAAGAGAAGATTAAGGATAAAGCAAATACAATGTTTTGGGGATACATATTAACATTTGCAAAGGTATGCTTTGCGAAGTTATCATTGCTGCTGTGAAAGCCTTGGATATCTTATTCTTGTCCCATTGGTGAATCTTATTTCTTTGGCCTTTACCAAAAGCCTTCAAAAGGTGACAGGTTGTTCTCAAAGGTAGAATTGACATACAGAGCTAAAACTGAGGAAAGAGCTGAGAAAGGTCCAAAAACCTCTAACTTCTTATATGTGTTCCATAAAACAAGAATCTTGTGTTTCTGGACTGCGTATTTTGATAATATATCGTGAGGACTATTTCCCTGCTCCCAGGATTTTCCCCATTTACTTTTGCATGGAATTTATGTTTTACAGAGCTGAGCTGCAATATCAAGCATTCCCAGAAGGTGCCACCAAATTACAAATGGTGTCCTCCAGTTTTGAAACTTCTAGTTACATTTTGTAAATTCATTTTATAGTCTCTCTTAAGACATTTAAAATGTAGGCTGTGCTTGCTTTGAACTAGGCAACGAGACAGTGCATGCAATGGGTAGGTAGAGAATGGTTTTCTTTTGGTATCTATGAATCACTTAACCGAGTTTGGAACATTGTTCTCAGTGGGTAATAATTTATGACTGTAAACTTTGAAGGTAGTGTCAAGGTCCACAAAGAAAAATCACCCCAAAGGGGCTTCCTTAGGTCAGTAAAAGTGACTGCTCAATGCGATATCTCCATATAAAGTCAAAGATCCTTCTATTAGACAGGAGAAAATGGAAAAGCATTTACTAAAGTTTTTGGAGATAACACTTGTGCCTTTGAATTCTGAAAACATAGAGAATGAGGGTAGGGGGTGCAGAAGCGGGAAGAAATAAATATTCAATATCTGTGACACAGAAAAGGAAGTTTACTTTCTTGGTCATGGAAAGAAAATGTATGCCCGAGGCCCTCAGATATTAGTTGAGTGAGAACAAAATAAATTACTAGCATACCCCTGGTTTGGGATCTCTGTGCTTAGAACCACAGTATTATTTTTTAAGAAATAAATTGCTGACCTTTGCTTTATAATGTTGCACTTGTATTTTTTTAAGGTGTGAAAAACCATCATGTCCCTTTGAGTTATTGGGAGCATTTTCTTCTAAATGTTTTTGTTTATAATATTCTTTGATTACAAATATCTATGTATGAGGTGCTCCCTGTATACAAGCACTGCATTTGGTGGTACAAACAGTGTAAGATTAGAATTGAATCTGGGCTTTGAAGGGAAGAAGGCAAGAATTGGTGGAGAAGAGGGTGTGGGTTCAGAAGGAGAAGGCGTTCTTGGCAGGAGGAAACAACTTGAAAAATAATTGGTGGCAAATGTAAAGTCTGTGTTGTCTTCATTGAACATGAAGAGAAATCTCATAAATCCCGGGGGTTAATTTATCAAACCGGTTTATCGGGAATGGAAAAAGTCTTCTTGACCTCTAGTTCATTCTAGGAATGCACTGGACATTTTTACTCTATCCTTTCATTAATCCACACATCGTGTAAGATGGCTTTTCTTTTCACCTTCATCGATGTGGAAGTGGCAGAGCGGAATTTAAATCTAGGTCTGACCAGTGCCAAAAATGCATGCTTTTTGCACTGAACCACTGATTAAACCTTGTTAAGAGTGAAATCACATCAAATTAAAACCACCAATCTTTTTTTAAAAAAAAAAAGCATCCAGTTAAAAATGTTAACTTTCCTATCATCTGCCTTCCTCTGACTCTTGGGTAGTGGTGCTATATAGTCCAGGGCACAAAGGGAAGAATAAGGTATAATGGCAATATTTGCCTACTTGGCTATGAATGATAGATGCAGAGACTGGCATGATTTCTAAAATGCTCCTTGATTCCTTATTACTATTTTGTGAGAAGCAGAATTGCAGGAAGTATTGAAAAGCTGTATTACTATAGGGTCTATTCAAGGAAACTCCACCAACACACTATTTTTTCAGGATGCTTCATATACCTCATCCTAGAGGCAAGGATATGGTGTATGTTGCACTCGGTTCCTCCACTTATTTTATCGGTATTGCGTTATCTGAATGTTCTGCTCACGAAGGATCTGAAGAAGGAAAGTGGCTTCCTTGTGCCGGCACATAGCCATTCCTGGCTGATAAATTATCTTTGTGGGCTCAGGAAGGGTGGTCCAGAAGTGTGGTCTAAACACATACATGTGGAATCAAAAGACAAGACAGGTTCCGCTCACTAAGTGGTGAACTTTTATAAAATGTGGATTTAATGATAACACCCATGAGATTATAGGTGAAAACTGTCTTTTAGGTATTAGTTCAAGCAAAAATATAAATTATGTCATAGACAAAGACAGTCTTTTGTTTGGTGATTTTATGAATCCTAGTCTATGAAGGCCTAATGTTCATAAGATGTTCTTGTATAGATTGAGAGGCAAGCTGTCGTCTAGGGCCTTAGTAATTTATAACCCATGGCCATAGTGTATTTTTTAATTCTTGCATACATTTCTTAAAAAGTCATTTCCTGTTGGGCCTGACCACTGATTGTATTTGGGATAAAAGCAGAATCTTTCTCAAAGTCTAGCCTAGTTTAAAATGTTAAGTCTCTGACAAACTACACTCCAGGTGACTTGATGTATTTTCAGTAGTATAAAGTAGTCTTTATATTTTCAGATTTCCTCCTCTTCCACATTATTTTCCAGCATTGTTTTAATTAAAGGTGGGCCTCAGATTTGGCTGCTGACTTTGTGATGGGTATTTGTTGATTTAGAGACAGTGTCCTGCTCTGTTACCTGGGCGAGAGAGCAGTGGCATTATCATAGTTCACTGTACTCTCCAACTTCAGGGCTCAAGTGATCATCCCACCTCACCCTCTTGAGTAGCTGAGTAGCACCAAGCTTAGCTAATTTCTAAATATTTTGTAGAGATGAAGTCTTGCTATGTGCTCAGGCGGGTCTGAAAGTCTGGCCTCAAGAGTCATCTTCCTGCCTCGGCCTCCCAAAGTTCTGGTAGCCACTGCACCAGGCTTTTGATAGGTTATTTTATAGTGCCAGATTATCCGATGACCTTAGAGCAGAATCAGGCAGGGTTGGCATGCTTACTGTTGCTTACCAAGCCTGTCTCATTGTCCAACAACATTCAGAGATTTGCAACAAGTCCCATGCCCTCTTTTAAAGATAAGTCATGTATAATCCTCCCTGTTTTGTGTAATAAAACCAGTGAGTCTTTTAGTTTATCCCTAAAAAAACATGGTTTAGAGGAGGGAGGGGTGTACCACGTGCTGTTCACCTCTGTCCTCACTGGGCCTGTGGACATATTAATAGTTCCCTGGTCTCTCTTCTCTCTTTAGAAAATTTTCTGAAGGTTTAAGACCAAATTTAGAAACCATATACAATTCTTTAATACAACATTTGCTTCATGATTTAATCACAGAGTTTTTAAAATAAGCAGAGACTTCAGAAAACAACTTGAATTTTACAAAGGAGAACTAGAGGTCAAGGTTAATAACTTGCCCAGCATCACAGAGCTCTCATTGCAAAAAAAAAAAAAAGGTCTTAAGATGCATGTCCCTGATTGGCACACTATTACGCTCTCTAGTTGGAGCACAGAGATGTCCTTCCACATCCTTCATTCACTTTCCAATACTCTCTCTCCTCCTCCTGAGCATTTTGAAGTGGTTCCTAGTAAGTTGTTGTCATGTTATACTAGTCCTTATACATTTCTTGACCTTGCATCACCACCTCTGCTAAGCCTTTGTTAAATTAACCTTACATTTCATATCCTCAGTACAACCTCACCTAAAATGCTTCAGGCTGTTTCTAAGTGAGGGTAGCATGTAAATCCCAGCAGATGTTACAGAAGTTATTTGGTGGAAAATTTCTACATCTTGGTCCTCCTCAATTGTCACTAGGAAGTTATGAAACAGAATGATCATGACTTGATATAGTTTAGGGGGGAAAATCAATAGGCAGAACATAAAACAGGACATTTAAGTATCTGGCAGAAAGCATTGTTTATTAATAAAAATATGGAAAAAGCTGGACTTAGTGGCATGTGCCTGTAACCCCAGCTACTCCGGAGGCCAACGTGGGAGGATCACTTGAGCCCAGGAGTTCAAATCGAGCCTGGGCCAGATAGTGAGGTCTCATCTCTTCAACAAATAAACAAAAAGATGGAAAGAGTTTTTAAAACCTCCAGGGTAAATGGAGGCTTCACTTGGACAATGTGATATCCTCAGCAGAGAAAATCTGAGTCCTCTTTTCTCCTAATCTTCAGTCTCTTCAAGGTCTGCCTCTGTGTTTTGGATTGTTCTATTTAGTCCGTCTACACATGAGGCACCCTGCAGACCAAGCAGCTGCGTTCATACACAGGCACCCCTCCAACTTTCCAGTTGACTCTGATGCTCCTTAGGTTTTAGGCCCTTCACTTCCTTCCTTCTATTGACAGTTCAAAAGCTCCCTCCTTCAAACTCAACCTACTGTGATCCGGCTTCTTTTGCTCTTGAAATGGTTCTGAAAACTACAACTGGAAAAGCTCACCCCTGCTCTCTGGATCCTAATGTAGAAACCACCTTTGAAACATTGGATTTGACCTTTCTGGTTACCTTGCCTGCTTTTCTGCTCTGTTCCTCAGCCCTGTTATACCTACCCTGATCTCTGTGAGTCTTCTTTGCCTGAAGATCTCCCTCTACTGCTCTTAAGTTAGTCATTCCCAGTTGTCTTCTTTTTATTATGGAGTCTTTCCCTGGACAATCACCTATTTCCACCATATTTTTTATGTCTTTCTCTTTCACCCCCAGTTGTTTTCAAAAGTTACCAGCTGGTCAACTCTGACCAGCAGGTATCTGAAACACAACAGACTGGGGCACAACCTATTCTAAGTAAGTATCTTTTGCAGGTACTGATGGTTCTGTTCAATATCCATTATCCCCTTCTTACTAATAGCATTTCCAGTTCACTAGAGCAGTAATGTGCCTAACACACATTTTTCCCCCCAGTACTTGTAGATGGATACAGTCATGCAACTAAATCTGGCTAATGAGGTATAAGTGGAAGTTATTACGTGGGAATTACAGAGACGCTCTTTAAAAAGGAGCCAACCCAAATGTGCTACTTTGTCTTTCTCCTTCTACTTCTGCTTGCCTTGAACTAAGATGTGATGGCTGGTGCTCTGGCTGCCTGTAGAGAGACGCGTATGGAGGACCACCAGGGACAGGAAGAGACTGGATTCCTGATTCCTGACGGGAGCCGCCACACGGATCCTGTCTGTCAGACTGGATTTCTCATTCAATGAAAAATAAAAAAGTAAACGGTTAACTTTTCAGGCGTCTGCTACTGGTAGCTGAGCATTCCCTAACTGATTTAGCCCTGCCCATTATCCCAAACATCTTCCTGCATCTCCTATTATATTAATATATCTTTCATTGATTTATTAACCTGAGTTAGAAATACCAGGTATTATGGAACATATATTTAAAAAAAAAAAACAAATACTGAAGGAGTATTGTGTGGTGTTGAGTACTGGGGATAGGAATAGAGCTTACCTTCAAGTGAGAGGAAATATATAATTTTAGGTAGTGAGTGGTGCTAGAAAAGTCATTTATTTTCTCTCAAATTTCTTTTCACTTGGTTATGATGCCTTGTCAGGCTTGTTCCAGAAACGTCTGCGAATCCGTCTTTTCTTCTTCCTGCCTCTCCTCAGCTCTTGGTTTGTTTTCTCATCGTCTGACTTGATTGAAGTTGGGGACTTGAGTTGTTCTTTCTGTCTCCCGTCTCTTTCCTTTCTCAGGTCCTTCTTCACATACCTTTCTAAAACACAGAAAAATCCTGGAAAGACATGTAAAAGAATATAAATCAGCTTAGTTCAGAGATGGTGTTATGGGTCGTATTCAAACTATTGTCTTTAAAATTGCCATTTTTATGAAGCATTTCATTGTTTTAACCTTGGTTCTTGTATGAGTTAAGTACCAAATCTTCTTTAATGTTGCTTTTTTTCTTTAACATTGCTTTTTTCCCTCTTCATCAATCTTTTATTATGGAGAAGTTCATATAGACATGAACTACACAGAATATTATAATGAATCCTTTACTGACCAGCACTCACCTTGAACAGTTATTAATCAGCACTGTTATCTGCCTGTGCAGTGCCATCTTCTCCTTCCTCAGGATGATTTTTATTTTATTATTATTATTATTATTTTTGCAGTTTTTTTTTGGGGGGGGGGCTGGGTTGAACCCGCCACCTCCGGCATATAGGACCGGCGCCCTACTCCTTTGAGCCACAGGCGCCACCCACTCAGGATGATTTTTAATAAGACTGAAGATACATCATTTCATTCATGGGTATTTCAGTATGCATCTCTAAAAGACATGTTCTTTTTTAAAAGAACTAAAATACCATTGTCACATCTAAACTAATTAGTGATTCTTAATATCATTATCTAGCCATTGGACAAATTTCCAATTGAATCAAAATGTCATAAATTTATTTTCATTTTTACATTATTTTTGTTTGAGAGCCAAATAAGGTCCATATTTTGCAATTTGTATCTTTTAAATTTCTTTTAACCTATAGATTCTCCCTCCTCTCTTTTTTTCACATAAAAGCGTGAGGGGAAAACCCAGGTTGTTTGTCATAGAATTTCTCAGTTTGGAATGTGATGATAGAATCTTTGTGGTATGGCTCCTGTAAATTAGTAGTTGGAGTTAGAATTATGGTCACATTCAGGTTAGGTTTTGGTTTGGGGTTTTGTTTTTGTTTTTTAGGCAAGATTATCTCGTGAGTAGGGTTGTGTTCTTTCATCAGGAGGGGCCTACATGGTGAGATTATTTCTTCCTCTGTGATGTTAGCAGCCACTGATGCTCAGTGCCTCTGTGCATCAGTTCGTTAGTAGGTGTGATACCATTATTCTTTCTTCATTTATTTCGCCACAGTTCACTTCTAAAGGGAAACCCTCCCCTCTTCTACTTGTAACCAGTAATACAATTTATATAGAAAAATAAAAAATAGTGCTGGATTCTTGCCCATTATGTATCAGTTTTCAGAAGAATGAGTTCACTTTTCTAGTATCTTGCAGTGGTTTCAAATGCTTTAATTTTTTTTAAAACACTGCTTTTAAGACTAATCAGACCTTAACCATTCTCATCTTCTTTCTCTCTCCCTTATAGTTTAGTCACCCTAAGATATTAGCAATCCTTGATTCCTTGACAATTCCATGTTGCTTTGTGTCCCCAGGGAACACATTTTGTTCTTATGACCTGGTTCACTTTAATCCATTCTTTGAAGCTTTTCTGAATAATCTGTTCCTCCCAGTCAGCCCCTTCCTCCCTTGTGCTTCTCCCATGGACAGTGTATGTGTACTTTGATTATAGTTATTGTTCTCTCCTATGAAAGTGTTTTTTTTCTCCTGACTGGTGGAATATTTTAAGGGCAGCCCTCCTGTCATAATTATCTAATTTCTTGGTTCTCTGCACTGTGTGTGGTACTTATTGGCACTCGACAAATGTTGGATGAAATAGTACAAAGTCGTATTAATTTGCAGAGGTGCCAAAAAATGTATACACATTTTAAGAAAGAAAAATACTATGTTAAATTTGTAGTCTTCAAATCACGTTTGACTTCTGTAATTACAAGAGGTGCTCAGCGTGACTTGTATTCATCTTTTCTTATCAGTGTATATTGAGTATTACAATTTCAATACAGGTTTTCCTTGTTTAAATGTGTATAGAGTTGTTGGCACCCTCTGTACAGTTATGCATTTGTAGTTAAGAGTCCTTTTAAGTAATTGACATATTTGCTAGAGATGTGACTTTGGTCTGTCCCCTTTATGGAGGTGAAGTAGACACAGTGAATGGGAGAGCTCACTGAGCAAAGAAGACCAGCCTTGGCCCTCTCAGAGGTGCACAGTACAGGGTGACTCTACCCGTGTGCAAATAAGTTCATACAGCAAAATCCTGGGACAAATTGGAGGCCAAAGTAAGCACGTTGTATCAACTGGATTGCACTTTTTTTTATTTTAACTGATTTCACCGTGAAGTGTATTAAACCACAAAACTAACACAGGGGAGGCAAGGACTACAAATCAATCTTCTATGGAGACAGCAGAGGGTTGTCAGAGTCTAAAATCCCAAAACATTTGCTTCTGTATTTTAAAAAAGCAAATAGTTTTCAGAGAAATTTCAATAACAGGATGTTGAAGTGAAAGAAATTTCTGCCTCCCTGTTTCCTATAGGGACTGTGCAGAAGCGTGATAACGTGAAAGTTCTACGACCACCTTGTTTTTGCTGTCTTTACGATCATGAAATATGATTATATTCCTTCTGATGTTTACATGTGCTCGCGAATTTATTGGAACTGGTAAAATGCCACATGTACACTGTATAAAAGGGACTGGCTTTTCCTCCCGTCTGTTTCCTCGGGTTGCGTTGTCAAAATAGATTGGCTTTAAATTAATAACCTTAATTTGGTTGTTAAATATTTATGGAACCATCACATTTGAGTAACTGCAGCCATACAATTAAATGTTTGTTGTATATGAGGAAGGATGAATGAAAAAATTCAGGAGTTCAGTTTCTAACCACAGGGGCAACTATTGTGAAAAAGAGTAGTACTGAACAATAACACACTGAAAAGAACAAGATGTGGGGGATTCAGTTAGTTCCCCTAAAACCAGCCTCTTAGTTGTGCCTGTGTTGGCACATCTACTGTCAAATACAGTATATTTATAACTCACTGGCTACTGTAGCATTTATAAGGGTGATTTTAAAAGAATCACCATTACATCTATAAAACAAAAATTATAACCAAGTATAATTTATCACTGTGGGAGGTTGAGACTATTAAGAGATAAAAATGGACTGAAGACAGCAGTCCTCATTTTGGAGAGGAAAATGTTATCATAACCATCTTCTCTTTTATTCAGGAAAGGCATAGCCCCCGCCTATGTACTTTGAAAGCGTATCCTGAAATTTATGTAGTTATAAAATCGATAAATTGTCTCCTGTCTTCCCTTCTGGGGATGCCCTAAATTGGAATTTGCGTGCTAATGGTCTTGCCCAGCTGCCCTTCCACCAAGCCATTATAGAGCCCTGTATGTTATACAACAAAAAAGGAAGCTCAGGTAATGGGCCTCTGTTGCCCTGTAAAACCTACCTTTGCCCATCACAAACGTGGGTGCCTTCTTAGACTGTGCACATCTGTTCTCAAAGTGAATAGCACACTCACCAAGAATCCAGTGTAGTCATTCCCAAGCATACAGCTCTACTTGTAATTGCATTAATTACTTAAATGTTATACAAACCAATAATGTACACAAAGAGTAATTGTTGCTATGAAAACTAACCTGAAACCTGAAAGGGGGTTTACCTTGAAAAAAATATGCTCTCAACTTAGGTAACACTAAGAGAAAAAATTAGGAGACTCTACAAGGACTGACTCTTGCATTCTCACAGTTATACAAGCCTCCAGCATCTTGCTCTTAGAATGGTGAGTATGGATAGTATGTTAAGAATGTGATTTATGGAAGAAAGACTTTTTCAGACCTCATCCAAAACTTCTTGATCCCACATCAAAAGATTGGTTGATTAATGGTGTTTTTGAAAACTGTAAGGTAAAGTGAAATATCTAAGGGTTGTTTGTGGGTATTCTAGTATCTTTCACCCAAAAGAGCTCCATCAGCCAAACATCGTGATTGCTTCTCAGGTAGGATTCTAGTTCTTCCACCACCCCCATCCTGGAGTTAGAATAAGCTTTAGTTTAGCCACAGCACCTTCTTGCCTCTCCTTTCTTCCATTCCGTTTTATCAATAAGGGTCTTACTCATACCTCACCTACAGGTGCCGCTTTCCAGATGAGTTTATAGGTCCTGTTAACTTGGGCTGTGTCCAACCCCCTCAACAT